AATCTTAGCACTACCACTTGTGTCAACCTAGGCAAATAATTTACTTTTTTGGTGCTTTGGGAAATGCTTGCATTAGATAACCTCTAAGCTCTAAATCTGTAGTCCTGTGTTTTTTTTTCCAAATATAATATGCTTATGCACAGTAATATATAATATTTAATCTGTGAAGAAATAGGACAGTGATGCCCAGAGATTCAGGGAAGGCTACAGTAAAGTCATGAGCTAAGCTTTGAAAAAGATAAGATTACAGTGAAGTAAAGAGGAGTAGGAAGTGGGTGAAGGATGGGAGAGGAGGTTGGGGAGGGGAACAGTGCAATGCTTGAGAGAATGGATGGAGGATTGAGAGAACATGGTATGCTTTGAGAACAGCTAGTAATCCAGTTTGGCTGAAATAGAAGGTACAATAACACTGTTTCTCAATCACTAGATTAATCTTCAGACACTGTATTTTAACTCAGCTGTGTCCCATACCTAGAATACTCTCTCTCCTCACCTCTGCCTCCAGGTTTCCTGACTTCTTTCAATTTTGAACACTCTCCACAATCCTTACACCTACTCTCTCTGCTAGTACCTCTGAGATTACCTTTCACTGATGGCATAGATACAGGTGTCGTAAAAGTCTTAGTGCAGCTCCAGACTTTTGGGACATCCTTTATCTTGCATGAACATAATTATTTTTTATATTGTCTCCCTGGATAGGGTATGAGCACCTTGAAGGTGTGCACCATGCTTTTGACTTTCTTTGTGTCCCTAGTTTAGCATAGTCCCTGTACCTAGTAAGTGCTTAATAAATGCATATAGACTGACTACAGGAAGAAGAATAATGGGGAATTATCCCAGAAAGGTAGTTTGGATCCTGAAATGCCAGACTGAGCTGTTTGTATTTTATCTTAGAGGGAGTAGGTAACTGAGAAGGTGTTGGAACAGGGGAGTGACGTTGGTTAAGCTTGTGTTTTGGGAAGATCATTTTGACATCTCTATGTAAGATGGATGGGAAAGGGAAAACAATGAGCAATGAAACAGATAGACATTCTGAATTGGTTGATCTTATGATTCCCTGTGTTTGGAGAAATCCTTAGGCTTTGAGGAAGATTAGAACTGATATTGGCTGAAGTGCCATTGGTTAATTCACCCTTCATCTGTCAGTCACAATTTCTCAAAGGCTAGATCAGCACTTATTAGCTGTTCTACAATGAAGAATCCTTTCAAGTATGGGTTGTACCAGCTAAGAGCTAAAGACTCTTCTACCCATGTTAAATTGTGTGAATTTGTGATTCTGGGGTAATACATCATTATATAGAATTCTGCTAATATGGGAAACAAACAAATTATCTCTGAAGATATCTCATATGTACAAATTTTTATTGCTGTTGCATGCTACCTTCTCCATTGGAATGTGAACTCCTGAAAGATAAGGACCATATTTTTGTCTTTCTTTGTATCCCTAGGGCTAACCTCATGCCTGACAAGTAGTAGTTCAGAAATAAATGTTTATTCATGATGATGATGATGATGAGAAAAAAATCCTAACTCTGCTGCTTACTAGTTTGATTCAGTTTTTTCATCTACCTGGGCCTTAGTTTCCTCATCTGTAAAATGATTATGTTGGATTAGGTGACCTCTGAGACCCCTTCTGCTTTACATCCTTGATTCTCTGATCCTTGAAACCTCTCATACCAGACACACACTAACTTTTCCCCAAATAATCATTTCGAAGAGAACTGACTAGGCTCATGTTTTCTTTTGTCTTTTAAAAATTCTCCCATTTCTTCATTCTGTCTTTCCATGTTATCACTTCCTTTTAAGTAGGCTCCCTAAAGGGGGATAATTTACTTAATTGCCTACAAAAGTGATTCTCATTTGAGCTTATTAAATCCTGCATCCTGAGTGCAGATTCAAATGTGAAATGATTATGAGGCACTGAGTATCAATTGGCTTACCTAGCTACAGTCCCCTGGCAGTAGTTTTTAACACCTCATCAGATGGAAAGGCCATTAATTATGATTTTTTTTCTTTTTCTTCAGTCAATGACCGTTCCATTCATTACAATTAGAATTTATTGATTCAAGGTGATGGTGAACTTTCAAATAAATATCTGAAGTCATTTCCTCTTAGTGTAGAGAAGCTAAATGTATGTCATTGGTGTAACAGCCATTGATAAAGGTCTGAGAAGGGGAATACATTGAGCAGTGGAACATCCATTTCAAAGGGACAGTGTAATGTAAGGAAGACTGAACTAGAATTCAACACATTTGGGTTCAAATCTTCTCCCAGTCATTAATTTCCCTGTGGGACCTTGGGCAAATAACTTTGAATTTGTGGGGTTTTGTGTCCTTATCTGGTAAATAGAGCACAATAACACAGAATCGTTAAAAATTAGAGTTAGATGGGGCATCAGAAGGCAGGTAACTCAATATCTGATATGATTTCTGATGTCTTCTTCTAACCTTTGCTTAAAGCATTGTATTAATGATGAATTCACTTACACCTACTGCAACCACCTTTTTGATTGTTCTAATGCTTAGGAAGGCTTTCTGATAACAATGTGAAACTTTGCCCATTTCTACCCATTGGATTTTAGTCTTCTTATGGAGCCACTGGGAAGTATTCTGTTCCTGTATCCACTGTTTATATCAGGAATTATTCCACCTCAATATGTTAGTCCTTCACCTTTTTTTAAGACAATGATTATCCTCGTTCACACTCTCTTCTCTTTTCCAGGCTAACATCACCATTTCCTTCTGTCATTACTAGAATAGTATGGTTTCCAGTCTGGTCACCATCACAAGTGTGAAGTCTTCTACTTGGGCCCAAGAAATTGATATCCTAAGTACAATATGGGGGAGGCATATTTAGGTAGTAGTTTGTATGAGGAAAAAAAAAACTAAGATTTTTATAGTGCACTGCTAGCTCAGAGTGAGTCAGCAGTGTGATCTAGCAGACAAGAAAGTGAATTTGATCTTGGATTTCATGGGTAAGTATGGCTTCTAGGAAAAAGGACATATTAGTAGTAGTGTACTCTGCCTTGTTCAAACTGCATCTATAGTACTGGGCATCATATTTTAGGCTTAATTTATTGGTTGGCCTATATAGTTACTGAAGTTCCTTCCAGCTTTGGAATTCTGTGACTGTCAACAATTTCATGATCTCCCTCTCAGGTCTTGTTGTAAAGGTTAAGGGCCTGGCTCACAATAAGCCATATTAATACAATAAATGCCACTGATTAACTGATAACATAGGTAACATGATTTATAAACCATGATGAACTGTATATATGAGATTGGTCATCATTACTGTTATCATTTTTTCATTATCACGAAATTTTGTAATGACAAGGAGGCTCTTCCTATAGAAACATGTAATAGATGTCACCTCAGATAGTACTGAACTTGTAGAACATGAGAGAATGTTAAACATGGAAAGGAAATTATAATTGCCACCCACATCACGTTTGGATGATGTCATTTGTTAGGGTGTACTTCCTTACATGGGACCGAAATCAGATTCCTTTTACTAAAAATAAGGGAAAGGGAACATAGCAAGCTTAGTATAAAAGAACACCTCCCCCCCCCCCCACTATTACCAGGTTTCTCTAAAGGATAAGCATAAAACAGCATATTGGCATCTAGGTGACACAGTTGTTAGAACACTGGACATAGAGTAAGGAAGACTTGAGTTCGGTACTTACTAGCTGTGTGACCCTGGGCAACTCACTTAACCCTGTGTGTCTTAGTTTTCTCATCTGTAAAATGAGCTGGAGAAGGAAATGGCAAACCATTCCAGTATCCTTGCCATGAAAACCCCAAAAGGAGTCACAAAGAGTCGGACATAACTGAAAGAACTGAACAACAACAACAAACAAAACAGATGATGGTTTAGGATAAAGATACTAGGACTGGAACAGAACAAACAAACAAAGGTGAAGTCCCTGGTCAACATTTCAGAAGGATATCTTTTGCATATGATAAAACATTTTACTTCTGTTATGCAGCCTAAAGGACCTCAAAGGATATGCAGCAGTAATGCCAGCTTCCATTGTTCTGTACCCATCCTGGCCATCTCAGGAGTTGAATGTATATTATATATTTGACAAACATACACAGTCTTGTTACAGTTAATGTATGTGTGTGTGTATAGTTCACATTTATATAATCATTTAACTTTTGCAGAGCACTTATGATACATTTTCTCATTTGAACCTCACATTAAGGTGGGGATGTCTGTGCTATTATCTCCATTCTATAAATGAGTTCTTCAAGTAGGAACTGGACAAACACTCATAAAGATTTTGGGGCAGGTAAAACTAGATACTCTTCTTAGGTACTTCCAGCGCAATTCTGATATTTAGTATAGGTTGGTGAAATAAGTTTATCTCACTCATTTTCTCTTCAATGATTTCTTCTGCATTTATGACATGGTTAGATAGCATAGTACGTGGACCGCTGGACTTGAAATCAGGAAGACCCAAGTTCGTATAGTGCCTCAGACACTCACTGGATATATAACCTTGGCCAAATTATTTATCTTCTCTCTGCTTCAATTTTCTTTTTTTAAATTTGTAGAATATCACCTACCTGACAGGTTCATTGTGAAGAATAAATGAGATCACATGTATAAAGCATTTTGAAAATCTTAAAAGCACTATGTAAATGGTAGAAGTTGTTATTAGTATTATTAGAACCTAGACCAATAATTTCAGTGCTATAGGGAGCTCCCTGGGGAGGAAACTCCCTCTTCTAGTGTACCTCCTCTGCAACTTTCAGAGTTCTTATCTCTAGAAGATTAAGTGATTTGTCCAGGGTCACACAGCCAGTTTAAGATAGGTATGAGACGTGATTGCAGTTCTTCTCTGGCTCTGGGACTGGCTGCTCTGTTCCCATAATACCACATTGCTTCTCTTTATATGGCAGCCTTCTCCTTGCTTAGATGCAGCTGCACTACTATAGGCCTGAATACACAAGTCATGACTCATATAGCTTATTGTCATTTTTCTTTTACAGAGGTCTCCAACTTGGGTTCCGCAAGTGTCCAAGACAACACTGTGAACAGCCGGATATTTCAAATCTTGTACAGGAATGAAGAGATCGTCATTAATGAGCTGATGACTTTTCGAGTGCATTTGCTCTTAGATGGGGAAAGGGTAAGGCATGGGTCCCCAACCTTTGCATAGGGGGAGGCTGCTTTTCATTTCTTGAGGACCCATAACTTGCAGCATTAGGGTTTGTAGGAGGTCACTGAGAGCAAGGTTTCTTAATTGAATAATGAGATTCCACTGCATCAGTGATCACAAAGCATATGAAGTAATTGTAATCAGTTTGGAGATCAAGTCGGTAAAGCTACTTAGGCACAACGTATGTGGGTATGTCTTCCCATCAAAGGCCTGCCTCTCTGATAGAATGGAAAGTTGATACACGCATTTCCCTCCATCCTTACATCCTACCCTGAGTATCCATGACAGAGCATGTATGTGCACATGCGCACGCACGCGCACAACACACACACACACACACACACACACACTTCACTGTAGATCTTTCTCTAGCAAAGTCCTCCTGCCCCATCTCAACACATTGTACATCCATTCATTCAGTTGCTATTACACTTCTGACTTACTTTGAGCCCTGGAATTTTTTCACTTGAACTGTTGTCCAGTTTCACATCAACTAATCATTGTCTGATCATTGATACTTCATTCTGTATTTACACGGTCTAGTGTCTGAACCCTCATCTATGGATGTTTACATTTATCCCTCTTCAATCTTGTCTTATTAGACTAGGGGCATCACACCAACTGATTGCGATCCTGAATTCCTTCATCAGGACTAGATGAGATCAAAGGCTTCTTCTAGCTGTAACACTTGATGAATCTGTGAATCTATGAGGTCTTCCCCCCCCTTATTCTGTCATCCAATATGCTAACTATCTCAGCCTCCTGCCATCAGATATGTGACAGCCTTGCCATCCTACTGCTTTATACAAATAATTGATTAAATGTTGAACACAATAAGGGCTGAAGACAATGTCATTTTACTGCTACTAGACACCTGCCTAGGGGTTGACATGGATCCATTAATCTCCAGCTTTAAAATGGAGGAGTGGAAGTACATAATCTCCAAGGTCCTTTCTAGTTCTAATATTCTCTTTTCAGATTTAAACCAATTCATTCAAATTGAATAAATATCTATTAAATGTCTGCTGAGTGAGTAGCACTATGGTAGTTATTGGAAAAGATACCAAATTTAGGTAAGACGCAATCAATATCCTCATGGAGCATGACACAAATGCAATTATACTACGTTTTAAGTTAATCAATAGCTAGTATGTATATAGTGCTTTAAGGTTTTTGAGTATTTTAAGGTTTTAAAGGAAATTTTGAGGTTTTTGAATATTTAGTAAGCTTTAATGTCTCGAACTGCACCAAGACTTTGGAGTTATATGTTACCTCATTTGAACCTCTCAACAACCCTGCAAAATAGGTACTATTATTGTCCCATTGTACAAATGAGGAAATTGAGGTTAAGGGAAATTAAGTGATTTGATTGAGGTCATACAACTAGCAATTGTCTGAGACAAGATTCAAAAGGTCTTCCTGACTCCATGTACATCATTCTGTCCCATGTACCACCAAAGAATAATGAAAATACTGTCTGAAGTCAGAAGGGAGAGATAACACATAACTTCCTGAGTGCAACAGAAAAGGTCCCCGAAGAAGGTAATTATTTGGGAAATACTTGAGAAAATGGGTAGGCATTAAGGAATAAAGGAAGGGAAATGGAACACATTCAAAGCATAAAGGCACAAAAAAACACAGGATATTCACAAGACTGTGCCAGTCTGGCTAACAGTATAAGGAGAAAGTAATAGGAATTGATTTTTAAGGGCATAGAATGGCAAGCAAAGTGGCAAAGTAAAAAAAGCCCAAGACCTGAAGTCAGAAAGATTTGAGCTGAATTTCTGTCTTAGACACTTTCTCACTAGTTCTGTGACTCTGGCAAATAATTTTCCTTGTCTATGCCTCAGTTCCCTTCTCTGGAAAGTGGAAATAATAGCAGTATCTACCTTGTAATGTTGTGAGAATCATATAGTGTGTGTATATTTTTAAATATTTATACATATATATCACTATATAAAGGTTTATACATATATCACTATTTAAATTATCATTATTATTATTTCTATTTTATTCAATAGGCAATTGGGAGCCATTACAATAGTCCAGTAAGGTAGTGATGAGGACCTGTGCTATCATAGTGGAAGTTGAAATATTAGCAGATGGAGCAGATAAGAGAGAGTTTGGAAAAATTGATAAGACATGATAGCTAATAATAATTAGTTAAGACTATTTATTAGATATGAAGCATGAACAAATAAAAGAACATAACATGATTTTGATTCTGGAAGAATGATGGTACCAATAACCAAAACATAGAAGTAAATTAGGGACTTTGTAGGTTTCAAGGGAAGGAATACAGTTCAATTTTACACATAATCAGTTTGAAATGTTAGTGGGAATCCAGAAGATTATTGCAGACTCCTCTTTTGCTTTTCTTTGTATCCTAACATGAGGACACTGCCTTGCACATAGTAGGTACTTAATAAATGCTTATTCACTCACCGAGGAGGGGAGGTGAGCATATTTGTCCAGAACTTCTGAGAGGGACAAGAATGGAAATAGACATTTGTCAGTCATTTATTTAGAGACAATATTTGAATATGGGAGGGAATGTGGTTGTCAAAGGGCAGAGGAGGGGCATAAATAGAAAGATGAAGAGAAAAGCAATGAAAGAACACTGGGAAACATGCTCATTAAGTAACTGAGAAAAGAGGGAGAAGGCAGTAAGAGAGGTGCAATGAGTTCACAATGAGAGACATAGGAAAGAAGATAGACACAATAAGGGAATGCATAATGAAGGACATGAGAAGGAAAAGAATGTCCAATCATTAGAGAGGGAGTAGTCAGTATCACTTGTTACAGAGAGATCAAGGATGGGGACTGAAAAAAAAAGGCCATTGGATTTCTCAATAAAAAAGGTACTGACGAAATCAGTTTCAGCAGCATGATGGGGAAGAACTCTCTTTGACTTCAACCAGTTGAGGTGAGGGCAGGAGTTGTCCATGTTTAACATTCTTTTTTATTTGTTATTATAAGGTTCACATTATAATACCCTGTGCTATGATACTACTACTATTAATAATAAATAATATTAATAACAATAGCTAACAGTTATGTGTTAAGCACTTTACAGTTATTATTTCATTTGATCTTCATAGCAATCCTATGAGTTAGGTTCTATTATTATGCTTATTTTACATGTGAGGAAACTGAGGCAGACAGGGGTTAAGTGACTTGCCCAAGGTCACAGAGATGGTAAGTGTCTGAAGCCTGATTTGAATGCAGGTGTTTTTTTACTCCAGGGCCAGCACTTTATCCACTGTGCTGCCTAAATGCTCTGGCTATTTTAAGGACCCTTCCAATTCAAATGTTATATATCTTAAGGGTGTATCAGCACTCTTCTAGTCTGGTTGTTCAGACAGCTTTTTAGCACTCTTGCTCTCATCCAACCTGTACTCTCTATCTTGTCTACAAGGAATGTCACAGCCAATTAAAATCTGGAACCAGTGAAGGTTCTAAATTCACCAGGGAAAAAGCATACATGGTATTTGTTTGATCTTAGGTTCCAAATAATTAGTGGTAAGAGATGATATTCTGAGTACTGTGTGTGCTGCATTACATACCTTATAATGCACAACAAGGCAAAGAGGCATGATCATTTATGTAATTTGTATTCAGCAAAATGTGGCATCCCCAAAGCTTTTTAACAGCCATTTTTAAACTCTGAGAATCTAAATATAAATTCTAGGCATATGTGTCTTACTAGATTATGTTTATCCAGGAATGTGTTTTCAAAGAAGCCTTTCAATAAGAGTTCTTCCAATTTTACTTGATCAAAATATTCTTATGAAGAAAAATTTGATATACCTTCTACTCATTACTCAGTCTCAGAGAAGTTGGATCACCATTTGTGTGTGGTGTCATGGCACCATGGAAAGCACATTTATATTTGGAATCAGAGACTTTCAGCTCAAGGAGTCCTTGTTAGGTTAGATACTAGCTGTCTGATGCTGGGCAAGCTACATCACCACTCTGAAACTCATTTTCTTCATCTATAAAATACAGATAATATTACTTACATCTCCCTCCCACTCACCGTGTAAGGTTGTTATGAGAAAAATGATTTATGAAACCTAACTTGTAGAAATGTGAGATGAACATGAGGGACACGAAGAGGAGGAGAATGATGATTATGATGGTGATAAAATATGATGTAGGAAATGTGGTATTAGACTTGGAGTCAAGAAGGTCTGGATTCAAATCTTGCCTCAGAGATTTACTATGTTACCATGGGTAAGTCACTTAATCTTTCTCCTCTTAGTTTTACTTATCTGCAAAATGAGGGAATTAGACTTGATAGACCCTAATCTCTTCTATTTTTAAATCTAATAATAACAGTAACAGCAACAAAAACAATAATAATAGCTGGCATTTGTAGGAAGCAGCTAATTGGAGCAGTGAATAGAATGCTGGCCCTGGAGTCAGAAAGACATGAGTTCAAATCTGGCCTCAGACATTTACTACCTGTGTGACCCTAGGTAAATCATTTAACCTTAGTTTGCCGTAATCTACTGGGGAAGGAAATGGTAAATGGCTCCAGTATCCTGACAAGAAAACCTCATGCACAGTACGAGTGTGCTACGGTCCACTGGATCACAAAGAGTCAGATATGACTGAATAACAAACACATATAGAGTATTTTAAGGTTTAAAACATGCTTTGTATCTTTCCATTGCTTTTTTTAATTTTTAAGGCAGTTGGGGTTAAGTGACTTGCCCAGGGTCACGCAGCTAGTAAGTGTCATGTGTTTGGTCTGAGGCCAGATTTGAACTCAGGTCCCCCTGACTTCAGGGCCTGTCCTCTATCCACTGCGCCACCTAGCTGCCCCTTTACCATTGCTTCTTAACACTCGATCTTTGGATTACAGAAGAGAGAAGTGAGGTCAGTCTATGCAAGTAGATACACAGAATTCATCTGCATCTGTGATAGGGTTTCATTATTGCTTTTTCCTTTTTTTATGTTTTTACATGCTCGCTCTGGCAGTTGGAGCAGATCCATTTAATTCACTTTTGTCCTCTCAATGGTATTTCGCTCCTTACCTATCACGGACGCTCAATGCCCTCTCGGTCTATGTTCCTTTCCCTCATCAAAACCCTCTGGGAAGTATATTGGATCTCAGAGACCCATCACTTCATCTGACAAATATACACCTTGAGGTCAGTAAAGGAAAAATCATTATTCAAGGTCATAGAGGGATTTAGTGGCAAATTGAGGCTAGAAATCTATGCCTAGTGATTCTTGGCCCCATTTCCTTTCTATGACTGTGCCACCTATTCAGTAGATAGGTAGGCAAGGCATTTATTACATATTTACTTTATGCCAGTCACTGTGCTAAGTGCTGGGGTTACAGATTTAAGGAAAGAGAAAAGATTTCTTCTCTCAGGGAGCTTACATTCTAATAAGAGAGGATAAAGCATAAAGAGAAGCTGGAAAGCAGGGTAGATGGAGGAGGGAAAAGGGTACCCATAGGTGGAGGAGTTGGGACAGAAGTGAGTAGCATGGATGGGGAATCTCATGACATGTCATTCTTGGTCTGGGTCAAGGACTCACCATTTAGGAGAGTAGGCCTCAACCTTCTGATTCTATTACTCTACTGATTTTTTTCCCAAAGTCACCAAAAACCTCTTAATTATCTAATAATGTTTCAATTCATATTTTCTGTCCTATTTAACCTATCCAACTATTTACTCATTCATCTCTTTGTTTATTAATTAAATAAAATTAACTAATTGCTAATTTGTTGTTAAAACACTGTCTTCTTATTTATGCTTTTACTCTTCCTTGACTTCCCATTAGCCAGTCAGTGACATTTATTGAGAGCCTACTATGTACCAGGAACTGTGTTCACTCCTGATCTGTTCTTATATCTCTTCCTATTTCTTCAGTCTCCTTCACTGATGGCTCTTCTTCCTCCCCCACTTAAGCATAACACGTCTCCAGGCTTAAGCTCCTCTCTCTTTCACTACACTCTCTGTCTCAGGAATGCTATCCGCCCCAATGCTGTCATCATGTCTAGGAAGAAGTTTGGGGCTGCAATTGCATCTCCCAATTACTAGCTATTAATGAATGGCCTATATAAGGAGTCAACAGGAGGACACTAGGGTAATTGAATCCTATTGAAGATACAGAAAACATTCTGATGAGGAGCTGAGGTAACAGGGAAGGAAGTGAAAGAGGGTTGATAAACAGTTCGATATTGAGGAGAATTTAATGTAAACATATCAATCTAAAAAAGCTTATATAAATTGAAAATATAATTCTTAAAGTAACATTAAGGTCACACTGAGATAGAGAATATCCATTTATAAATGCATGTATAACTATATACATATACACATAGACATCTGTGCATATGCATATAACATATATATATATAGAATTGAATTTATTTGAATTGAGGTGGGAAAAAACTAAATTGGAGAGATTATAATGTCATAGTTAAAAATCTTCCCCATCATCACTACTCTGTCCTTACCAACTTGCTAAGTTAATTTCCTGACTTCACCTGCACCATTCATTCCTTGCTTCTTTCATTCCCTACTCTCTTCAAAATGGAATGCTTACCCTCCTGGGTGTGTTACCTACACTTTGCCCATGCATAATGATCCAGCTCAAATTCCTCCTTACATGGAACCTTACTCAGTTACTTCAGCTCTTACTGATCTCTCCACTGTCAGAATTCTTATAATCCTTATGTCAATACCTCTCAGTTGTCAATTAACATCCAACATGTTGTCTTATCCATCCTCCTGTTGTAAGGCAAGATGACATCTGAACCATCCTCAATCTAGGATACTTTAAATTCAATTCAGTAGCCATTTATACATATTAGCTTCTGAGGTTTGATAGACCCTATGCTCAGGGCTTGGAGATATAAAGGTAGATGTGGCATAGGTCTTGCCGTTGAGGTATTTATAGTCTAATGGGAAGGAAAATGAACCTCTAATTGTAATTCAAAGGAAAATTAAAACTGTAAATTTGAGAAACATTTATCAAGTGCCCATTATGTGCAAAGAGCTATTTATGCTAAGTACCATGGATACCATAGAAACTAAATAGTTTCAGGCCTCAAGGACTTTACATTCTGTTGTAGAGGAGAGGTATATACAAAGAAATTTGAGAAATTTGTTGTTGTTCAGTCATTTTTCAGTTATATTCAGCTCTTCATGACCCCATTTGCTGTTTTCTTGGCAAAGATACTTGAGTGGTTTGCCATTTCCTTCTCTAGCTCATTTTTACAGATGAGGAACTGAGGCAAACAGGGTTAAATGACTTGTCCAGGGTCACATAGCTAATAAGCATCTGAGGCCAGATTTGAACTCATGAAGATGAGTCTTCCTGATTCCAAGCTCAGTATTCTATCCACCTAGAAAGTATAATTGAGTTATTACAGCAACCCTAATTATCTACCCTCTCCTCCTGGTTACCACCACTATGTATATTCTTGAACAGCAGTAAAAGATACTTTAATACTTTGAACAAAAAAGCATCTTAACCAAGAGACCAGAGAACCTATTTGTAATAGAACTGTTGTTTATGGTATAATTCAACAAAATATTGATTACCAAATGTTTATTAGGTACCTAGAGAAACCATGGCATAGTGGATAAGTGGTCCTAAAGCCTGGAAGACCTGGATTCAAGTTCTGCCTCTGACAACCTCTGTGTGAATCTGGGCAAATCATAACCTCTTAGTACTCTGAGCAACTTTTTAAGACTAGTTGGCAGAGAAGATGCCATCTTTCATTGGTAAAGAGCATTCTCTTACCTGCAAGTTCCAAATACAGAGGTCCAGTTTCTATTCCTAAGCACCAAAGCACCAAAGCTAGACAGATGAATGAAAGGTCTTTGAGGGTAGGGACTATTTTCATTCCACCCTCCCCACCCCCATCCTTAATGCCTCATGTAGTACTTGGTACATATAGTGTATTATAAATGATTGCTGAACTGAGCTGAATAAAATGTGGAGCCCATACCTTTCTACTTTGTACATACCATCTACTAGGGGTATTCAGTATGCACATAGAGTTAAGTATAATTCTTAAGAGAGGACATGGAATGAACTAGAAGTATAGATAAGTTCTCTAGGAAAACCTAAGAATAGAAATAGTCCTTTTGTAAATATATGTGTCTGTGAATTCTAAGGATAGGTAGCTAGCCATCACTAAGTAGACAGGGTTTTAGAGGAGAGGAAATGTCCATCTCAGGCATCTCAGAGAAATGTAGTAATAAACTTGAACTTGCTTTGAAATTCTCACTGTCTAGAGGCCTCTTCTACCCTGACTAATAATTTCAATAACTTGGATGCTCAGTGGTGCAATTCTCTCAAGAAGGGAAATATCAAATATTTGAGTTGGGGCAGAAATTGGCTTTTGGAATAAATTGGTTTTCCTTTTCTTTGTAGGTTGAAAACGCTTTAAGTGAAGTTGATTTCCAGCTCAAGTTGGACCTTCATTTTACAGAGAGTGAACAACAGTGAGTATAACCCTGAGACTTTAATCCTATTAATGCTTCCTCGTGATGTCTCTTGTATAGCCCTTTTCCTGGGGACACTCTTCAAGGAGCAAACTCCTCTGGTAACAAGGAGCATGCTTTTCTTATCCTATAGCTTATCCATGAGTTCATGGTAAAAATTGGTGGTAATTAAGTAAGATATAAAATCCTTAACTTGTTCTACAGTAGTAAGGTATAGAACTCTGTTACCTCTGAAGAATTGAAAATATTTATCACTCAGATGGAAAAACAAATGGCATATCTCTAGATCTAGATCTATCTATCTACATATATATGTATTTGTATTGTGTATGTGTATGTGTGTGTGTGTGTGTGTGTGTAGACTGTATAACCCACTAGTTGCAAGAAGTAGTATAAAGGTTGACATTGAAAAAATACAAAAAAAAAAAAGATGAGATGGTCCCATGGCAAAGAGTGTTAGGTCTTTTGGTAACCTCACAATGTCAAGAGAAGGTGATGGAGGCCCCTAGTACCTTGGGTGGATCCTCAAGAGCAAACTTATAGAAGAGTAAGAACAAAGGATAAACAGAATGAGTAGGCGTGGGTAGATTGTGATCAGCACCAGAGTTGATCTAATCACAACTCTATTTGAATACAAATTCTACATTCTATCCATTCCTTGTTATTTAAGTTATTAGAAGGAGTTTTTTTTTTCAGATTAACAATCATAGACTTATTGAAAAGGGGCACAGGATGTCATCCACTGCCAGGTCTACCTGAAACATAACTTCTGCCTACTATGTAACTAACAAGTGGTTAACTAGCTTTTACTTAAATGAGTGGCAAGATGCTCACTATTTCCATTGTAGGGCAGCTGTCATTATTAGAGCTTTTTCTTTATGTTATGAAATCTGCATATCTTTAACTTCTTTCCCCATCTGCATATTATTCCTAGAGTATTTTTGCCCTGTAGGGAGTGAATCAAACCAAATGATTATAATTACTTTTCCACATAATAGCCATTCATATACTTGAAGACATTAATTGTGTCCCCAGACCCCAGTTATGTTCTCCTCTCCAGGCTAGACATCTCTCCAACTGGCCCTCATATGGCATAGCTTTGAGTCTTCCCACCATTGGAATCACCCTCAGCCAGATACCTTCCAGTTTGTTAAAGTCCTTAGGAGTTGGAGGAGGAAAAGAAGTTCATAGAATCAAAGATTTAGTACTAGAATGGACTTTGGAGTTCATCTAGTTCACTCTTCTTCAATTTACAGGTGGGAAAACCGAAGCCAAGACAGGTAAATTGACCTGCAGAAGTTTGTACAGCTCGTAAGTGTCAAAGCCTCTATTTGAGCTAAGCTCTTCTGCTGCCAAATCTAATGTTTTCCCCAGTAATCAATCCCCAGTGCTTCCAGGCACTGTGCTAAGCTCTGGGGATACAAAGAAAGGTAAAGACAGTCCCTGCCTGAGGAGCTTTCAATCTCATGAGGGAGACAACATGCAAACAAATATATTCAAAACAATCTGCATATAGGATAAATATGAAACAATAAACAGAGGGAAGGCACTGTAATTAAGAGGGGTTGGGGAAGGCTTCTTGTAGAAGGTGGGATTTTAGTTGGTACTTAAAGAAAACCAGGGAGGTAAGTAATTGGAATAGAGAAGGGAGAACATTCCAGGAATGGGGGGAAGACAGAAAATACCAGGAACGGAGAGATGGAGTTTGGTTTGTGGAACAGCCAGAGGGTCAATGTCACTGGATCAAAGAGTGTGAGTCTGGGAGTAAGGTACAAAGTAGACTGGAAAGATGGGAGGTGGCTAGGTTATGAAGGACTTTGAATGCCAAACCGAGCATTTTTATTTGGTTCTGGATGGAATAGGAAGCTTTAGGACCACCAATTTAGTGGCTGAAGGGATGATGGACTGGAGTGGGGGGAGACTTGAGGCAGACAGATCAATCAGCAGGCAGTTGCACTAATCAAGGCATGAGAAGATGAGGGGCCTGCGTTAGAGTGGGCAGCAGAGGAGAAAAGGAGGTGTATTCCAGAGATGATGGGAAGTTCTCCTTCTCCCCTGAATCAGAGTTATGTGTGCAGTTTCCTTCCCATTAGACTGTACATACCTCAAGGGCAATGTCGCATCTACCTTTACGTCTAGTCGTAAGTGCAAGGCTCAATAAACTCAGATGGTTATTTATAAATGGTTATTGAATTGAATTGAAAGTGTCCTGAATGTAAAGGTGAAATCAACAGATCTTGGCAAGAAATTGTATGGGGAGTGAGAGATAATAAGGAATCCATAATGGCTCCTGGGTTGTAGCAGCCACACCAGCAACACCAGCAGCAGCAGCAAGCTGCTAAAAGCCTGCTTTGCTCTCTCTCCAGTGACCTGGAGCTCTCCATGGTTATGGAGCGGCGCAGAGAAAGCTAGTCCTACCAAATAGGCAAGGCTCCAAGAATGGACCCAAATAAATTCAGAGAGGCTTATTACCAGCTCACCCACAAGGAGAAGATTGATTTAGCCACAAATGAGGTGAACCATCTAACAGTAGGATAGCCTGCCTTTAAAGGGGCTGGTGCGACCTTCTCCTTGGAGGTCATCAGATATAAACTGGTTGGCTACTTGCTGAGTGTGTGACCCTGGGAATTCCTTTTAATAATAACAATAGCTAGTGAACATGTATACAGCACAGTAAGGTATGCCAAAGGCTTTCTGTATCTTATCTCATCTGATCATCAAAACAATCCTTTTGTGTACTGGTTGGATTGGATAGCCATTGCAGACCTTCTGATTCTCAAATTCTGTGATCCTACCGAGTTGTTGTCCTCTGTATCATTGGAAGGGATATTTATGCTATTGAACCCACAGACCCCTGAAATAGTTATATATGGAAATAATAATATCTCATATTTTAACAACTCCTAAAATACCTACCCCAAAATATACAGTGCTTCATAAATCGTATCCACAAAACCATATCCACATATGATGATCTCCTATTTTGGGTGATTGGAAAAAAAAAGCAGTTAAAATTATACATCAAAAGCACTAAATTAGGAACATGTCTGATTTGTATTCAAGGGAAGACTCAAGGCTGATGATCTAGCCATTCGTTATATATGATTCTGATGATAAGTAAGGCTATTTATGAATGCTTTCTGTTTATCATGTTTAGTTCTTCAAATCACATTTTATTGTTTTTGTTTGTCATTGTAATCCTTTGAAAGTCTTCATAGCTCCATAATAATAATCATATTAGTAATATAATAATTCCTAGTATTTATCTAGTGCTTTAAGATTTTCAAATATTGCAAACTTTATAAATATTATCTCATTTTATCCTTATAAAAACCCTAGGAGTTAGATTTTTTTTTATTATTCTCATTTTTACAAATGAGAAAATTGGGGAAGCAGAGATTAAGTGACTTGTCCAAGGTCACACAGCTAAGTAAGTATCTGAGGCTGTATTTGAACTTAGGGCTTCCTAATGCTCTATCTACTGGGCCACCTGGCTATATTGTTCCTTGATTGCTTTTTTTTTAAATTGATGCTACTGCATGTTAGTAGTTGCCTATAGAGTCTGTAGTGTTACTTGACCTGCATTGAGAATATTTAAAATATATCTCCTACTTCTACCTAATGGGTTTCCCAATAAGAATGTATGGACAGATACACTTTGTTGTTTAGTATGAAGACAAAGCTATATTTAGAGTCTGAGTCAAAGATACTCTTCTTTACTGCATTTTTTGACTGATTAAGAAATCAGAATGCTTTCTCTCAAAGCCTTTTTGAGAGGACACCTATTGCATATACAGTCGGGTACTTGTTGAATGTTAGATCTGGAAGGAACCATTAGAACACAAAGTACTAAAGCTGAAAGGGATCTTAGAATAAAGAATGTGAAAATGGAGGACAGAGAATTAACATTCTGGAAAGGGCCACGAGAACATAAAACATGAGAACAAGTAATAATAGAGTATAAAACAATTACAAATTGGATCTTAGAGATTGTCTAGACCAGGGGTTTTAACCTTCCAAGGAGCCCGTGGATACACTTCAGGGGGTCTATGAACTTGAATGGAAAAATAAGCTACATTTTTTTATAAGCTTTTGAGTTTTAAATTTTCTCCTCCTCCCTCCTCTCCTTTGTTCCCAAGATGGTGTGCAATCTGATATAGGCCCTACATATACATGCCTAGTAAATGTGTTTTCATATTAGTCATGTTGTAAAGAAGAATATAAATTATGTTTTTAATATAATTTGTGTCCTTTGTAATCTTGTATATTTTATTTTGTGCATTATAAAACATTATTCGGAAAAGTGGTCAATAAGTTTCTTCAGAATGTCCAGAAGGCCTATAAAACAAACAAAAGAGTAAGAAGCCTTGACTAAATCCACCTTCTCCTATATGTTACAGATGTATAAACTAAGTCTCAGAGTTTAGAAGCAACTTTACTGTCAGAACTTTCTAGCTGTGTCACAGGACCCTTCAGACTAGGGGACAGGAATGGTCTATGGTCAATGAGGTTGGTGGCTTTTACGGAGAATTCTTTGAGCTCTGACCTTATTTGAATTACGTAGCCTTTTGGTCTGTTTGGGAGAATGTTAGAGACTCTGTGGTAGAATGTTTCCCAACAATGGAGGTATTTAAACAGAGGTCTGATACCTACATGGAGATGATACACATCTTTCAATTCTGCAACTCAACAAATATTTATTAAAGACTGACAGGGAACTAGACAGATAAAGTGTTCTATTTTGAAGTTTGTTCCAATCCTGGGACTATATTATTTCAGGTCTGTACTAAACCTGATGCAAAAATACACATGGATGAGGACAGTCAAGTTGACAAATTTATAAAACAGGCCACATTGTATACACAGAGATAACATAAAATTCTGTACAGAGCACAGGGCATTGAATCATGCTATATGAATTTGTATCCATACTCACACATATGAGCTATCCTTTTTGGGCGAGTCACAACTCTAAACCTCAGCTTAGTTATCTATAGAATGGAGTTGATATTTGCCCTGATGACCTCACAGGGTGGTTGAAGGAAACCCTTTGCAAATGTTAAAGCATTAAAGAAAGACAAACTAGTATTTTGTTTGTTAGTTGTTTTTAAACTAGACTTCTGATTTCTTTGGGTTAGGGAACTCCTGGTGAGGAATTTCTTTTATCAATGCCATACAAACAGAGGTGTTGGGCTCTGGTTGGCCTGCAGGCAGGAATTTCCTGATTCCTGCACTAAACCATGCTACCTCTATGAGTGATAATGATGGTGGTGGTGGTGGTGGTGTTGATGATATGAAGAATCAGGTAATTGTCCAGTGGAACTCAGTGCTGTATTTGTAGTCCCCATCCAATAATGGCACCCTTGCCTGTTTTAAAAGTACTAACCAAGAGAGAATTGTGAATGCTTCAATATTGGGAGTGGTTGCCAGGGTTGAGAGAAGCAGAAAAATAAATTAATAAAGATGGGGTTAAGAGATTAGATTTTGGACAGGAGAGTAAAGTTTCTAGAGTGTTTTGGAAAGCAGTCAAACCAAGAGCAAGAGAAATTTGGAATGGTAAAATAATCAGACTTTGTAGTAAAGAGGAAGCTTAGCAAGAATGAAGTCAAGAAAAGGGGAAAAGTATCATCTGAAAGAGAATTCAAAGTAATAGAATCATGAAATTATTAGAATTCAAGAGTCAGAAAGGACCTAGGAGATCTATTTCAAACTCTTTCTGAAGCAGGGAACCAACCATCCCCTAACTCCCCTAACAAGTAGCTACCTAACCTCTGGTGGAAGACTCCCAGTGAAAGGCAACTTAGTGTCTATCACTGCTGCTCCAGTTGTTAGAAAGGATTTCCATATACTGAGCCCCAAATCTGCCTTCCTCTAACTTCTATCCATTTTTACTAGTCCTATCCTAACAACCCTTCTCCTAGATTGTGGTATGGATGTTATAAGACAGGGATCATCCATCCTCCTTCATAAACCTCTTTTCTGGGACTAGCATTTGTTATTCTTTGAACTGATCCATATATAGCAGAATTTTAAGTCAATTTACCATCCTGAACAACCTCTTCTGAAAGTGCTCCAGATTATTAATGTCTTTCCAAAAATATGGCTTCAGGATTGTTCTTAGTTATCCAGATGTGGTTTGATATCAGACTATACCCCACTCATTTTCAAAACTATACCTCTATTAATACTGCCAAAGATGCCCCATTGACTTTTCTAACTGCCACATCATACTGTAGAAGAGTAGTTGGCTGAGGGAAAATGTGTGGCTTCAGTCAGAGTG